GGCCAACGCGCGGGCCTGGGGCGTTAATTTCCCCCGTTAAAGCTAGAATTAAAAAATAAAAGAAAAACTTTATTAGCCTGCACCAGAAGCAACAAAAGACCCAGAATTTCCACAGTCCGAGATCAGCTGCCTGAAACAATAGGAAAAGCAACGACCCGGATACAGCTCTCAGGACAAGGAAGTGAAAACGTGAGGCCGAGATCGGGGATGAGAGCTATAGGAACCAAGAGCGCCTGCGCGGCAGTAGACGAAGCGCTCCATCCCCGAGCCAGAGCCGAACAGAGCCGAACGGGAGCCGAGCGGGAACCGAGCGGGGACCGAACCGAGCGCGAGCCGAGCGCGAGCCGAGCGCGAGCCGAGCGCGAGCCGAGCGGGAGCCGAGCGGGAGCCGAGCGGGAGCCGAGCCGAGCCCGCGCAGAGCCGAGTAGTTCCCCCTGGGAAGAGAGGACTCGCTTCCCAACACCCAGTGAGACTCCGTCCACAAGTCCTTGAGGTTCCGTCTCGCGGAGCCTAATGCCAGTCCTCACTCCAAATCCATGGGAGGTCAACTTTTGTTTCTAGTTTTTGTTGTTTTTTAAGGATTTTCTCAGAGTAAACACTCTACAAAGGGACCTTTGCTACCTTAAATCACTACTAAAACATAAATAATACCGACAGCCATAGTCTACCTGTGTCCTCTATAAATTGCCTCTCAAAATATCTTGAAACTTGCAAAAAGTTAATAACGCAAAAGGGTAATCACGTGAGAATCACGTCAGGCCATGCTAGATTGCTTTGAAAGTTTTAAATCTAACAGAAAAAAAGTATTTAATTATATAATTTATGATTATACTGTAGACATTTCCACAGTAAGAATAATACACCTACAGAAAAATTTCTGTTCACAAGAATATTATGTATTTTCTGGGAACCAGCAGTTAGCGTAATGGCTATGTCGCTGGACTCCCACGTAGTCGACCGCGGTTCAAGTCCCAGACCGGGTGGCTTAAAACTCACACCGGGCGCGTTTGCGTGCGTGCCCAAGATCCCTAGAGGAGAATGGAGGAGAAGGGATTGCGGCGTGACCATCCCCCCCGGGGGGTGATTTCTCGCTTTCTGTCTCTCTGTTTCTCTCTGTCTGTCTGGCTAGCACACACGCCCTATAGCGAAAACCTCTCCAAAAAAAAAAAAGAATATTGTGTATTTTCTCAAAATATGTGTGCACATGAATGTGAAATAATGCCTTGTTCCTAAACAAGTCATTTATTTTTAATACAAATTTTGAAACCCATAAAAATTTGTTAACAGAATGTAGAACCAGGTATGGCAGTCCTTCAAGATTTTAAATTCCTCATCTAGTTACAAACAAGTTAACTTTCTTTTTAATGTTAGAATCTGAAATAACATTAATAGTTTTTTGTTTGTTTGTTTTTGTTTGCTTTTTTAGGCAGGGTCTCACTGTTATGAACCTTCTGCCTAACCTCCCACTTCGTACCATAGGTTTGTGCCAAAATGTCCAGCTATTTATTATTCATTTATGTATTTGTTTAGTTTTTTGCCATCAAGCACATTGCATTGCCAGAGAGAGGAAAAGTGAGAAGTCATCCTGCACAGGGGATAGTCACACCACAATCTCTTCTCTGTCCTCTCATGATTTGGTGCATGCACACACGTGCCTGGCATGATTTTCAAGACACCAGATCCGGGACTTAAACTGCAGTTTTATCATGTGGGAGTCCAGTACCGCTGCCTGCTAGCCAGGACCAGCTTTTTTTTTTTCCCCCTATAAGGCATGTGTGCTTCCTGGAGAGACAGAGTGAGAGGGAAAGTGATAAGTCACACCCTTCCCCCCCCCCCCAAGAGATGGTCATGCCCCAATTCCTTCCCCTCCATTCTCTTGGGATTGGGGGCACTCAGGCACTTCTGCCCTGTGTGAGATTCAAGCCCCCAGGTCTGGGATTAAAACGGCAGTTGGCCATATGTGAGTATAGCAACCTAAAACACCACACCAAATAAATGGACCAGCTTTTTTTTTTTTTTTTTTTTTTTTGACATTTTTGCCATAGGACACATACTTTCACTGGAGGTGGGTGGGGGGAACAGAGCCAGTGAGCGGGATAAGCCTGCCACAATCCCTTTTCCATTCTCCTCCTGGGATTTTGGGCACACACGCACACGTGTCTGGTGTGATTTTCAAGCTGTCCAGTCAGGTATGCAAACTGCAGTAGGCCATGTGGGACTCCAGCAGCTTAACTACAGAACTATCTGCTGGCCCCTTTGTTTTTTAAGGTTTTTGCCATAGGGCCTGTGTGCTGCTGTCTGAGAGACAGTGAGAGGGAAAGTGAAAAATCACCCCCTAGGGCAGATGGTCACATGGTAATCTCTTCTCCATTCTCCTCCTGGAATTTTAAGCACTCCATATGCCTGCCAGGCATGAGTTTCAAGCTGTTGAGTCCAAGACTCAACCACAGTCAACCCTGTGAGAGTCCAACACCTTTGAGGCTACTTTTTTTTACACAGTTTCTCTATGTTGCTCAGACCAGCTGACAGTTTGAGGTCCCCGCGCCTCAGACTCCCAGGGACCCCGGGATTATAAATGGAAATCTCTCTATCTGGCTTTTTATTTTTTAATCTGTTGCATGCCAATCCTTTTTATTTTTTCCTTTCTTCCTTCCTTCCTTTCTTTCAATTTGACCAGAGAAGGACAGAGAGAAAGAGAGAGAGAACATGAGAAAGCAAGGTGACAGGTCCAGGACTCAAACTGCAGTCAGCCTTGTGGGAGTCCAGTACCCTTAACCACCATGGACTTGCTGGCCCCCCTATCTGGCTTTTAGATTGGACTGAAAATCTAACCCCAGACCCCCATGTAGTACCAGCATACAAAGCACAGGCTCTTAGCACTACCGGCCACTTTGCCTGGGCTAGCATTAACAGTTTTTAAATGGTTGATTTATCAAGGAAACAAAGGTTTGGATTAAGGTGATTCAGTTAATTCATTTCACAAATACATGTTGAATAGCAATGTTTCTAGCATTTGGAAATACAATGTTACGAAAGACTGTGTAAATGAAATTCTGCAGGAATCAAATCATGTAATGCATTAGTGGGCTTACTCTTAAAATAAATATATGTTAAATTATTTTGTAATTGTAAACTGGAATTAAATTTTGTAACATTAAACTTGAGAAATTAAAACATTTAGTAAATGGTTATATAGAGAAATTCATGGGATATTAACCTGAAGGCTGTACCACTAAAAGATAGTATTGTATTTTCTCTGTTAAAGCTTAAAGTACAGTTGAGAACATAAAAAGGTAAATTATTGTATATTGTGACAAGAGCTACTCAGGAAAAATACACTTCTTAAGAAGGGAAGAGGCACTCAGGAAAGTTGTCCTGAGAAAGTTATACATAAAGTAGCTAAACTAGCCTTTGGAAAGGGAAAATGAGACATAGGTATTCCAGGTCAAGAGAAGGAAATATGAAAATGATCAGGGCTAAGAGCAAACTGTGACTCTGATTATGTAAAAGCTGGACTATCTCCAGTGCCTCATAACAGTCCAGCATGACACTAGTTATATCAATTATATTGCAACCTCGTATTTCTGTGTTCTTTATTACTGATAAAAATGTAAACCCCTCCAATCTCGCTGAACCTCTAATCCCTGACCCAAAGTACCACTGGTATTTGTTTTCTCAAACTTTTCTATTGTGCTATTCCAAAATGTATAAATGAACTTAGCAAACCCTTACATTTCTTTGTCTATGATGGAAATAGTCTGCAGTCCTCTCAAAGGAACACCACTCATCCTCCCACACCTCATTTCTTCAAGATCCAGAAGTGGAATTTCATCATTAATACTCCCTACTGGTTAATAGCACACTGGTTAAACACTGTACAGAAGAAGCTAGATCCCGTATAGCCAACCAGGGTTTGAGTTCCAGTCTGGCAGCTTGAAAAACATGCCAGGAATATACACACTCAGTAATTCTAACAGATCGGAAAATTGGAGGAAGAAGGATTGTGGTATGATCAGGCCCCATTGGAAATTCTCTTTCTCTCTTGCATAAAAAAAATAAGAGCTTATGAGAATTCTTTCCAGCTTTCCAGATCACTGACTACTGAGTATCAGCAACCCAAGGGGAAAAAAAATCCATGTAGCAATTCAAATTCAGTCCTATTAAGAGAAAAGTCTATAACCACAAATTAATAGAATAGTTATCAGGTTTACAGAAAGGAGACAGACAGTAATCCCCTTGATATTTAGCCATCAGAAGAAATAGGAAGATTCAAGAAGTAAACTAGTCATAAGTATTCAAAAAAAAAAAAAAAAGTGCCTGTTCACATGCAACTCCCTTACCCCAACAAACAAATACACACACCCATCAAAGCCAGGACATCTATAACCAGAATTCAAATTCATTATTTCTATGTGAATAGGTTTTATTTGTGCAAAGTATATCAATTTTGACTTCCAATACTACATAAACTATGTATTACGTTATATAAACAACCAAGGATCATTACATATTTCAATAAAACTAACAACACGAGAGGAACTAAACCCTTTTTCATTTTAAAACACTTTCATAATTCAGGGATATAGTCTTTAGTGAACATCCTAACATTTAGAAGGTGGAGGAGAGGCGGAAGCTATCTTCACGTAGCTGTAGCAGCAGCAGCCGCAGCAGGAAAACAAGCTCCTTTATCTATGAGACTATAAGCCACTCACTAGCTTCAAAGGTAGGAGATTGTGATGGAGGTGCAGTTGTAGAAAGGGTTAATAGCAATAGCTGCACTAGTTTTCTGACCTCTAGATCAGAATGAGTATATGGGAACATGATCTGAAAACAAAATGTCTTCTTGAATTCCTGACTTTCACTTCTCCAGATTTTCGAATGATTTTGTATGTACCA